ATAATTATAGGGGGTGATTTATAGGTATATATCATACATCATACACATATGTCACATATATCATACACACACATAGACAATTTCTTGGTTAATTTAACCAAAGATAAAATTGAATAATTTTTTTGATGAGAACATCAGGGAGGGGTGTTTATTATTTCATATAATGGAATCCCTGGCATCTTTCAAATGCATAGCATCAGTACTACTTCCTACATAAGGGCTGTCCAAAGCTACCCACTTGTTAGTCTAATGGAATTTCCCTATATGTTAATGATGCCCTTTCTTACAAGCGTGTATATGTTTTGTGTTTACTTTTCTGAGTACATGTTGTTTACACTCAATTAAACCTGAGATCCTCAAGAGCAAGAATGGTTTCACTGGTCTTTGTAGCCATTCCTAGCACAAAGACTAGTGCTGGCACAGACTAGGCACTGAAAAAATGCTTGATGGATTAAAGCCGAGGAATGAGGCTCCCAGTACCGTCTCTGTCTTTGGGTCAGTGTAATACCTGCCAGTTGGGCTTCTTCTAGTCTCAGCAACAAGGTTGATACAATCAGCTCTCTTCCCCATCTGACACTATAGCCAGGTATAAAATGGAGAACCCCAAATCAAGTTCAACTTGGCTTAAACTACTACCTCAAGTTGAAGTAATATGGGAGTCTGTCAGTTGTGAAAAGGGAAGGGAAAATGTTGTAGTCTGTGAACAACTATTTGGCAATGGCATTGGGAAATGGCAGGCTACATGAAACTGACAAATTAGTTTCCTTGACCTGGTGGCCTCTGCCCACTTGAAGCTCCTAGAGTGAGATAGGGAGAGAAAGAGGCATGGAACCCTTTATGAGGAGGATGGAATGAAATGGTTTGAGAACCAGTGTGTTAGACTGAGCAAGGGTAATGAAAATGAAGCACAAACCAAACACAATTTTTGTGGGAGGTTTTGTGTGTATGTATGTATGTGTGTGTGTGTGTGTGTACGCATGTGCGTGTTTTGCCTGATAATTTACATTTCTAGAAACACACTAACTAGGAATCTGAATGGTTCTATTAAAAAAAAAAGAGGGAGAGAACATGTGCATGGCAAGACTGACATTTTTTCCTAAAAGCAAGCTGTTAAAATATCTTTCCTATTCCATATAATTTTATATCTCATACAGCTAAAAAAAAATGAAAACAATTTCAATGTGCTCCACATGCCTGGGAAGAATTCTGATGATTCCACCACCTCCACTCCAGGTGGTGATTTGATGAAACAATAATGATTTTTTTGTTTTTTAAAGCACATCATACATTTTGCCATATGATACATGTCTGGATTCAGGGACTTGTTTCAAACTGGGTTCCAAATAGAAAGGCTTTGGTACTATCATAAACTATGAAAACCAGTTGAGGGCAAAGTGGAGCAACACGTGAGGGATCCACTGTAACAATGAGAGGCTCTGGGATTGACTATTAGAATTTCAGTCAGTGGACAATATGTGGAAGAACCCCTCTGTAATGGGATGCCCTCATTACAGAGAAGGCTTCTTGTTTTAGAAGCCTTTCCCAAATGGAAGAAATAGTATATTTCCCTTTTCTAACAGAGACAGACAGACAGACAGACAGACACACACACACACACACACACACACACACAGTATGTGGTTCTTAAAACCAAGTCTTGTCAATTATTTACCAAGGTCAGCTATTTCCTTCTCTGTAGTATGACTTAAATTTACCTAATCATTTTTAAAACTAAAAAAAAAAAATTCTGCATCCCAGATCTCCATGGTAACTTCATACTCAGTTTACTATAATTCTCTTGCTGGGCTCAGAGTTACCCAATGCCACTTAAAAATGTCTTGCTCAGAATTTGGAACTATGCCCAAAGGTCTATAAAACTGTGCATACCCTTTGATCCAACAATACCACTCCTGGGTCTGCATCCCAAAGAGATAAAAAAGGAGGGGGGAAATGACTTATATGTGCAAAAATATTTATAGCTTCTCTTTTTTGTGAGAGCAAAGAATTAGAAATTGAGGTGATTCCAATCAATTGAAGAATGGCTGACAACTTGTGGAATATAATTGTAGTAGAATACCATTGTGCCTTATAAGAAATGACAAGAAGGATGATTTCAGAAAAACCTGGAAAGACTTACATGAACTGATGCAAAGTGAAGTGAGCAAAACCAGGTAAACATTGTACACAGTAACAGCAATATTGTATGATGATCAACTATGAATGACTTAGCTATTCTCAACGATACAATGATCCAAGACAATTCCAAAGGACTCATGATGAAAAATGCTATCCACCTCCAGAGAAAGAACTGATGGGGTCTGAATGTAGATCAAACCATACTATTTTTCACTTTATTTTTTTTTGTGTGGTTTTTGGTCTGTTTTTCTTTTACAACATGACTAATATGTAAATGCTTTACATGATTGCACATGTATAACCAATATTAAATTGCTTAACATCTCAGGTAGGGGGAAGGGGTGAGAAGAAGAGGAGAGATTTTGAAACTCAAGAAGGAATGTTAAGGGGCAGGCAGCTACATGGAATAGTGGATAGAGCACAGGAATCAGGGCAATGTGAGTTCAAATCTGGCCTCAGACACTTGACACTTACTAGCTGTGTGACCCTGGGCAAATCACTTAACCCCATTGCCTAGCCCCCCAGAAAAAGAAATGTTAAAATTTGTTTTTACATATAATTGAGAAAAAACATTATTCAACAAAAATGTCCTGCTCATCACTGCCAAAAATTACCTTATCTGCTCATTAATATAACAATAAAATAATAATAACAGCAACAACAACATTTACATAGTGCTTACTATGTGCCAGGCATTGTGCTAAGTGCTTTAGAATTATTATTTCATTAAATCCTCACAACAACCCTGGGAGGTAGGTGGGTGCTATTATCACCCCCATTTTACATATGAGGAAACTGAGGGAAATAGAGGTTAAGTGACTTGTCCACAGTTAAACAGGTAGGAAATGTCTGAGGCTGGATATGAACTCAGGTCTTCCTGACTCCTACCCTGGCACTATCAATAAGAAATCCACTACTCACATTCACTACTCTAGAGGTATCCCATTGGCCTCTAGATGAAATTAAATTTGAAACTTGCCATTAATTCAATCCATTCTACATTCTCATCTCTATCTAATCATACAGCCATAGTCCAGTTAAACTAGATTACATAGAGGCTCTCATGTTCCAGCTTTACTTTTTAATCTGAGAGCCTTTGCTTAAACCATACCACATGGAAAGAAGAACATATTTTCTTCTATTAACTCGTATACCTCTCTTCTTCTGAATCAAAGGTTCTTAAATTAGAGTATGTTAATCTAACTTAAAAATGTCTGATAACAGTATTCCAATATAATTGATTTTCTTTGCAATCCTACATGTTTTGTTTTATGAATTAAAACATTAATCTGAGAAGGGGTCCTAAGGCTTTATCAGACTACCAAAATAGTCCATGATATTTAAAAAAAAAAAAAAAGGATAAGAATCCCTATTCTAAATTATATTTAAAAGCCCATTACCTTCATGAAGGTTTTCCTAATGTAAACTCTTTGCCCCATTCCACAATCTGATTCCTCATTCCTTGACCACTTCCTTCTTTTATAATCACTGTATTATTATTATGCATTTCTGTTAAGTGCTATGGTGTGTCCAAAGTTAGAATGTGGGTCATGTTTGCCAATGCGCACTCTAAGAAACCCACAAGGGACTATATATATATATAACACTATAGACCTCAATAAACTGGTTGTCTTAAGTAATTGACAGAAGTTGTTTTTGTTATTTCTCAGGACAGTGAGAAACTTGAAAGACTAACCTTCTTACTCAGTTTGCAACACAACAGAAAACAAAAATCCTAGCTTGATTTGTTTTTTTTTTTTTTACTAAAATATAAAAATAAACCAACAAAAAGACAGTACAAGTTTTACCCCAATTATCTCAGTTTACTGTATGACAGACTACTATTTCTCAGCAGTCAGTGACACCCAAGCATCACAACCTGGTGAGCCATCCCCTGCTTAACTGGTTTGACAATTAACTGTATTCATGCCAAAATTCTGAGTTGGAGAAAAGCAGGAGGGGGTGGCCCTCCACGTTCTTCCCACCCTCCTATGCCCCTAGGCAAGGACTGAAGGAAAACATGCTGGGCTGGGGCTCATTCTCAGGAATAACAAAGCTGTATACAACTCAATCCCCATTCACTTGAACTGACACAGTAGTCCACTTAATTTCTTGGATATAAAATTTGGTTTTCATCTTATTAAATTATCAATCCACGTATCAGACACCCACAGTAACCTCTAGTTGCCTTTCAACTCAAATGTAAAAAGGTTCACAATTTTAGTATTCACATTCCTCCTTCTAATTTAAATGTTCATCAACATTTTATGAAGGATGAAGGAGGCTGGGAAGTATCTTTGTGGAAGGCAAGTAAGGTCATATCATCATGTACTAAATCACTCAGGTAACATAAGCTATACGTAAAGCTGAAAAAATGAGCACAAAAGGTCTGCAGACCAGGGCTTGGGAGGCATTTGGGGCCATAGGAAGGAGCACTTGATGAGAAGTTTGGGAAACCCTGAGCAAAGCTTGGCTTTACTGCGCTGTATACTGCATAGTTTACTGAAACTGTCCAAGGCTTGGTTTCTTCAAGTGTCAAATAGGATAACAACACTTGTGTTGGTAATCTGATGAGGGTAACATGAGAAATGAATGAGAGAATTCTTTGAAAATAATGAAGTTCATGGCATGATATTGGAAGAGCAGGAAGAGGTCATCATGTCCTCATGTTAGAGATGAGGAAACTGAGGCCCAGAAAGGTTGTAACATGTCCAAGGTCACACACATGCGTATTAAGCAGCAAAGCCAGGATTTGAACCAAGGTTCTCCAATTCTCAATCTAGCAGGTATTTCCCTGCACTATGCCAGTGAAACAGTTAATTGCAGGGCATTAACATTTTGGATTCTGAGCAATAAAAACCCACCTGGGAATGCTGGTCAGATAGGTCAGGACATTCTGAAATTCTTTCTCTGGGATTTCGCTGAAAGCTGGGTAATCTGGGAATGTGATAACGGGGCATCCATCTTGCCCCCGTCCACCTGAAAATCAATTTTTAAAAAAGGAGTTAAAATAAATCCAGCCTATTCCAATTGAGCAACATTAATAAAAACAGAAAGTGTCTAGAAACTTTAATTTTTTTTAAATTAAGCAGCAGCATATATGTTGTTTTTTTTTTAAGTACAGAAAAGAACTGCCCCACCCCTTGAATTTCTCTTCCCACTGAGAAGAAGTCCCTAGAATGAGGGATGGATTATTCACTTCAGAATAGTTAAAGAGTTTCTCAGGTTTTCCTGAGCCTTCTTTGTATCCATTAGGAGTGATAATGGGTCATTTTGGGTGCATTTCTTTCCTGCTTCTCAGCTATTTTTGTTCTTATCTAGATATGAAAATAAAAATGCTGAAATGTCAGAGGAAAAGAAAGCTATTACAATTATCCCTCCCACATTGGGACTTTCCCCATCACAGTTTCCATATATAGCAGGTTGGCATCAGAAATTAAATGGGAATTTTGGTGGAGTTTTGTGGAAAGAAGCCACAGATGACCTGCAGAGGCCAGCAGATGACACAAAAAAAGTTTAGAAATTAAAAAAAAAGGTTTAGAAACTCATAAATGCATTGTATAATATCAACATATTTTTATCTTTTAATAACATAAATATACACACAATTTCTTCTCTGGTATGAAGGGAGGGCCAAAAAGTTTTATGCAGATTTTCCAGATTGCAGGGGCACCGCACCCCTAAACCCTACAATGTGGAAGGGATTAAGAAGTACAGTCTTGGAAATGGCGCCCACTTCCCCATTGCCAAATAAAAATCCCAACAAACTTTTATTCACACAAGATTCCCAGGGCGACGACAATCCAAAAGTTTGAGAAGTACTTTTCAAAAGGGATCTTCTGCCCATCCCCTTACACAGAACTCATACAACTTTCCAAGGTTCAGAGTGGGTTTATGATGACACTCTTCTCATCCTCCTCTAAAGTACTAACCAAGACCTCTGCTTTCTCTAAAAGGACATCAGTGGAAGGAAAGCTTTGGCAGGCTCTTCCAGTCTTTGAGTACCAGCCCAACAAAGGGCAGAATGCCTATCAGTGATCAGCTTCACTAACTTCTGACAGGTCAGTCACCAATGGGAAGGCTGAACAGCAAGTGATGAATTCTCCTGGGCCTTAGCAACACCCAAAGATCTATTAAAGGCGTTTTGGGACTATAAGTTACACTCAAGAAGGGAGTCCCCCGACCAGTGGCATAATGGGTCTAACCATTATCATAACATTAAGTTAACCTGTAAGTTCATTAAAAAGATGATCTGCCTATAAATACCAAAAGTTAAAAGGTCTGAAATTTGAGCTTTTAAATAAATCTATTTTTCTTTTCTACGTTTTCCTGCATTACCCACACATTTTAAAAAAAAAATTTATTTCATTAAATGTTACCCAATTGAATGGAAAATTTCTTTAACATTCATTTTTTAAAATTCTAAGTTCCAAATTCTCTCTCTTCTTTCTGCCCTTCCTCCATCCATTAAGGCAAGAAGTATGACATTGATTATACATATAATATTGCTTATACATTGATAATACATGATGTGATTATACATGCAAAATGTATTTCAATATTAGCCATGTTGCAAAAGAAAATACTCACACATACAAAAAAAAATAAAGGCACCCAAGAAAAATAGACAAATGCTTCAATGTGCACTCAGAGTTCAGCAGTTCTCTCTCTAGAGGTGGATAGCATTTTTCATTATGGATCCTTTGATATCATCTTGGATTATCATATTGATCAGGGAGCTAAGTCTTCACAATTGATCATCCCTACAATAATGCTCTTGCTGCCACACGTTTAATCTTAAGGAAACAATGAAAGCTATAAAATATCACAGTATTTCCAACTCTTTCTTAAAGCTCTTCACTTAAATCTTTTCCACAATGCCAATATATTCTCTATCTATTTGCACCTTTTGGTATCTCATTTTCCTCCCTTTCCCAATCATCTACTCCTTATTTAAAAAAAAGAGAGAAAAAAAAGCTCAAAAAAGTTGACACAATAACCAAATACAACATTTTATGTAGTATTTCACAACTTTATTCCCTTCTACTCTTAAACAGAAGGTAGAGAGAAATAAGTTTCACTATCTGTAAAAAATGAGCAGATTAGGTAAAAGAGCTTCTAACATCTCTTTTGGCTCTAAAGATATGGGAGGTGCATTCTTTTTTCTTTTTCTTTTTTTTGTTTTTGAGGTGCATTCTTAAAGCTTGTCTTTGGGATAAGCTTGGAAGAATTCCTATGCTTGATTTCATTAACACAGAATCTCAAGGCTTAAAGGAAACCTCATTTGAGGCCAATGGATAAGAAATACAAGAACTCCTTTTTTGACATTCCAATTGTCCAGTCATCCCTTGAAAGCAAACTTTCAAGAAGAGGGAGCCACTCTCAAGGCAGTCCACTCACTTTGTGGCTAATATATTTGGGTCATCTGATATATACCCTAAGCTCTAGAACACTGTATTTCAGAGATGAGATAGGATCTGACTGCCTAAGTTTCTCCAAGGGAAGTTGGCTCAACAAAGGTAGGAGAGGCCTTCAAAAAAATGAATTTTGACACAAGTACAAATTATCCCAATGAGAAAGAAAAGGAGGTGCTGTCTAAAAAAACTGATGAAGATACACAACAAAGTGACTGAACAACTAATATTTCCAGATGACCCATACAGAAGATAGTAATAAGTACTGTTAATATTTCCTTTAAGGTTTACAAAGCACTATGCATAGATTATCTCATTTGGAGCTCACAACCGCCCTGGGAAGTAGATTTTTATTAACCTCACTTTACAGATGAGGAAACTGAGGCAATTTGCCAAGCAAGTTAAAATCTTAACCCAGATCTTCTTGACTATAAGACCAGGATTCTATCCATTATACCCCTTAACTGCAAGAAAGAAGATGGAAACAAAGGCAGTAATAAGAAAAAAAAAAGATTGTTTCTACAAGAATGCCAGATGGCTAAGGTCCAGAATAAGTCCAAGACTCTATATTCCAGCAAAAAGGAATGCACCTCCAATATCTTTAGAGCCAAAAGAAATGTTAGAAGCTATTTTACCTAATCTACTCATTTTTTACAGATAGTGAAACTTATTTCTCTCTACCTTCTGTTAAGAGTTGAGGGGAATAAAGTTGTGAAATACTACATAAAATGTTCTATTTGGTAATTGCGTCAACTTTTCTGAACTTTTTTTCTCTCTTTTTTCAAATAAGGGATGGCTGATTGGGAAAGGGAGGAAAATGAGATACCAAAAGGTGCAAATAGATAGAGAATATATTGGCATTGTGGAAAAGATTTAAGTGAAGAGCTTTAAGAAAGAGTTGGAAATACTGTGATATTCCCAATCTTTTCCTGCCTTTCCCTTCCCTTTGTATAAACCAAAGAGTCAAAGATGCAACATGGGTAAGGCCTGCAACACTTCTGAGTGTGACCCAAGTCAGATTAAAATGTAATTGGGAAATATTTAGCAAATAAAAATACAAAAAACCATAAATAATAATACATTTAAAAAATTAAGTCATTGTGCAGGTCACAGAGATCCCGGTATAAGTTTTGGTGGCCTCCATTTCTATTTGAGTTTGATACCACTGGTATAAACCATCTCTCATGCTTGGGTCATACTCCCTACACATCCATGTCTGTTAATTTTGTTGTTCAATTGTTTCACTTGTGTTCAAGTCTTTGTGACCCCATTTGGGGTTTTCTTGGCAGAGATACTGGAGTGGTTTGCCATTTCCTTCTTCAGCTCATTTTACAGATGAGGAAACTGAGGCAAACAGGGTTAAGTGACTTGTCCAAGGTCACACAGTTAATAAGCATCTGAGGCCAGATCTGAACTCAGATCTATACATTACACCACCTAGTGGCCTGTTAATAGGATCACAGATTTAGAACTGGATAGAACCTACCCCCCACATTTTATGTATAATTAAACTGATGCCCAAAGAGGTTAAGAGACTTACTTGTCTTAAGATATATGGAGAAAGTATGGCAGGGCCAGAATTTGAACCTAGGTCTTCTGATTTCAAATTCATCATTCTTTCCATTTCACCATGCTTTCTTTATCTTTGTCTTTTTTCCAAGGACTAGCTCAGGCACCAATTGCCCCATAAAACCTAACAGGACCCTTCAGTTGAAACTGATCCTTCCCTTCTCGTATTTTTTGTAGCATTTTGTCAAGACCCTTCCCCTGCCCTGGTCACACTCTCCTTGCTCTCCCACTTATTTCTATAAATGTTTTACCTTTCTGCCTCCCAATCCACTAGATAATAAACCATGCAAGGCCAGGAACTACCATTTTTCATTGTTATATTCCCATTACTTAGGACTGTGCTTGTTCATAGTAAGTACTTAATAGATGTTTACTGAATTGAGTGATTTGCTCTAAATGTAAGTGCCTGAGCAGGAAAAAACATTATCACATCAAGTTGCCACTGGTTTCCACTGACCCTGGAGGAGGTGAGGAGGGGGAATTTTGATGATTTATCTTTTCTTACTTTGGTAGAATGTATTAATTTTGCATGTCTTTTCCTGTCTCTCTGGCTTTTATAAACTGTCACGTTGAGGAATAGAGAAACCATAGTTGGGTATTGCCTTCATGTTTAGGAAAGGCAGTTTGTCTGACACAAACGAACACGAATACTGCAGTAGCCTCCTTGTTCCATTCTTGAGAGATGGAGTTAAATAAGGTTGCCCAGTTAAAAATAGCTGCCTTTTCTATTTAGAGACACCAGGCCTTTAGAAGGGTAAAAACATAGATTCTTAATTCTCCTTGTTAGTCTCGAGTACATTCTCAGTCTTTTCATCACGATCCAAAGACAACAAAAGTGAAGAGCAAACTTTAGTTCACCCGGAATTCAAATAAATAAAAAGCTGAAATCAGATTGGGGAAGGAGGGCATTTTTTCCCTACTCTTTCGTAAGGAATGCAAATGGCCAATAAATGAGCTGGTCTCAGGGAGTGACTTAGAACAACAACTTGGAATTAA